CTCTCTGCGCGGCGACGCAGCGGCAGGGCTGGCCCCGTCCTGCTGTAGGTGCGCCCCGGCCTGGTGGGGCGCGCCGCTACTCACTGAGCTGCGCAGCTGATCACGAGCCGATGCCGAGTCAGGTACCTCAACCTCGTGGGCCACACCGTGGTGGGGTGGATGTGGCTCCGGCTCGCCACCGCCGCAGCGCGGCCCGCCGCCGCCGCCGATGGCGCCGACGGGTTCTACTGCGGCAAGCTCCACACCGCCGCCTACTACTTCCGGCACGAGCTCCCAAAGACGGAGCCGGTGGCGGCGACGCTCCTCTCGCTCGACACCACCGTGCGGGAGATGCGGGCCGACTGGTTTTAGAGGCGCAAAGGGCGCGGGGCTGGCTGCTGCCGACGGCGGGCGCTCGTTCCCGACCTCCATTGGTCGTCACCCGCGCTTCGAGATGCGCGTCCGACCCCGCCCCAAAGCCTCTAGCCCCAACAGCCAACCCGCCCCGTCCCGTCCTCCCGTGTACAGTTTGTGCGTGCATAACGAGATCGGCCGCCTTGTCGAGGGTTTGTGATTGTGTTTTATTGGAGACGGGGGCGTCTTGTTGATGTTGTGGGGACGCGCCGCTGAGGTGTGAGGATCGCTTGAATTTTTTCAATTTTTTTTCATTGTCAGTGCCAATGCGCGCAGTCCCAAGGCGTGTGCGGCCGACGGCTGGTGGGTCCTCCACTGGTGCGCGTCTTTTTTACGAGTGTTGTGACCGGACCGCTGGGTTGAGGAGTCAGGGGTAGGGTAGGGGGTACAGGGTGGAGACCCCATACACCCACTACCCCCCTGCCCCTCCATTCGGGATACCCGGCTTGCCCCACCCCACACGCAACGAGCAACTGCATCCTGCGCTCTCTCCAGCTGCTTCTCCCGCGCCCAACCTCACAAATCGATCCTGCCGGAATGTCGGACGAGGAGCTGACCGACTCGTTGAGCCGCCATTGCACTGTCTCAGCCGGCGCAGCGGTTGCGCCATCGCTCGCCAGCCTTTCTCCTGACCTCCTCGTGCTCATCTCCGGGCTTCTTCCTGGGGCCGCGGCCCTCTCTCTCGCTGCATGCTCGTCCACATTTCGCGATGCCGCCCTCTCCGAGGCGAGCTGGCGCGAGCGGCTTGAGCGAGAGATGGGCTTCTCACCCGAGGGCGTCGCGCTCTGGCCGGCTCGGGCGGGCCGCAACCCGCTCGTCGACGCCTTCCTCTACCCGCACCTGAAGCACGAGGCGCTCGAGGGTGAGCTTCTCGGTGCGCCGCGGCCAGTGCGGGCGCCGGGCTGGAGCGGATGCGTCGACCTGCGCCTCGTGATGGAGCTGTCCAACCCGTTTGCCGCGCCGACTTGGACCTTCTTTGCGGCTCCCGGGGCGGCGGCGCCGTGGGCGGCCGGCGGCGGCGAGATGCCTCTCAGCGCCGAGGCGCAGGTGCTCTGCTCGAGCTTTGAGGACGGGCGCGGGCGGAGCCTGCGCGTGCTCAGCTTCGCCGCAGAGGCGCCGCCCGGGGCCCGCTGGCTGCCTCCGACCGCGCAGCCCGCCGGCCTGCTGTCTCACGGCTGGGTCTGGCTCGCGGCGCTGGAGGGAGACGCGCACGAGGAGGGCTACACCTCGGCGCGCGGCGCGCCCGCGGTGACGGCGGTGCCGCTGCACGCCGCGCCGTCCGGCCGGTCGGGCCAGCTGACGGTGCTGTCCGAGGTGAGGCTGCGCGTGGACGGCGTGGTGTGGGCAGCCGCGAGCAGCGCCGGGGAGCTCGCCCTCGAGGTGCTGCAGGCGACGGACGTGGCGGCGGTACGAGAGGCGGCGGGCGCAGAGCCGTGCCATATCCTGCAGCCGCTCGACGACGCTATCGCCGCTTCGGAGCGAGAGGGCGTCGCGATGCCCTCCATGCACGCGCAGGCGCACGGCGCGGAGGAGCAGGCAGAGGCGAAGGACTTGCCCGGCGTGTACGAGCGCTGTCCCCACTCGCTCCCCTGCGTCCTCTTCCCCGCGAACCCACCTGCGCGGCTGAGCTTTACCACGCTCCGCCGAGCGACTTGCGTCGTTGCTTTGTAACACGCGCCGACGCGCGTCACAGCTCACAGAGTCCTCACACTCCATCGTTTCGAGCTCCGTTCCGCGCCGGACCCCGTTGCCTTTTCGCTTTTGTGCTTTTTGTGATCTCACCGCAATCACATACAAGCGCGCAATATGTGTTTCAATGCGCAATGTCCGTTTGGCTTTGGGGTTTGGGCGTCTTGCTGTGGCCAGTCATTATCGAAATCTCTCTAGTGACTAGTCTTTCTTAGACGTGTTAGAGATTTTGAGAGGAGTGAGACCTGAAGATTTCAGGGCAGATCTCAGTCTCTAGTCCCGCCCTTGAGATCTCCCAAATCTTCGTCGAGACTTCAGCCACGAAATCTCAGTCTTCCCGTCGCTCGGTGTGAGTTTCTAGAGGAAACGCGTGACAGAGAATCTCAAATGGCGAAGATTCCTCAACGTCAACCTTCCAACGCCTTTATCTCGCTTCGTTCGAAAAACATCATTTCGGGACAACCAAAATCTACTCGAGTAGGGCACAGCCTGACCCACAATCTCCCTGGAGGTCAAACCCACCCAACCCTTCTAGAAGCTTCGAGGCTCTTGTCAGTATTTACACGGCAAATCTCCAAATCTCAGCTCTCAAATCTCTAGGTCGAGTCTCAACTCTTGGATCTCGAGCAAACTCGACCGCAGATTCCTTTTGGTGTGGGAAATCTCATTCTCCAAGTCTCTCTGGTCTCTAATTCTCAAAGTCTCCCACCGGAGGCCGAGTGACTGAGCTCTGAGGCCTCCCAAATCTCAAATCTCTGGTCTCAAATCTCTGGGTAGCACTGTAGACCCGAGTGGAGTCTTTCAAATCTTTAAGCTCTCAATCTCTAAAAAAGACTAGAGATTTCAATTACTCGTCTTGGCCGCGGCACACTTCACGGCCAAGAGTGACGTAAAGAGCCGGACCCGGAGCGGACGTGCCGGCGGCCCGCGGTCATTGCGGCCGTGAGCCTAGCGGCGGGTGCGGATAAGGCGGCGCGTAGTGCGGCGAGCCATACGGCGGTGGGAGGGGGTGGGGCGGGTACCGAGGGTACCCGTGCATGGCGGGGTACCCGTAAGCCCCTGGTGGCGGGTACGCCCCTGCGAGACCGGGTGGGCCGCACGTCGCGTAGGGATACGGAGGCGGCATGGGCGGCCCTGGAGGCGCCGCTCGCATTGCTCCCGCCCACGGGGGCCTCCACGGAGGCGGCGGCGCTGCCCCGACCGGCTGCAGAGGAGGCGGCCGCGGCGGTGGAGCGCCCGGCGGCGGCCGCGGCACGCCCAGTGGCGCGGCTACAGGCGCCTGCCGCTCCAGCTCCTGCTGCCGCCCGAGCTCCGCCCAAGGCGGCGGCGGCTCGGCGGGCGGCGGCTCGGTCCCTGCGCCCAGCTCGCCCAGCTCCGCCATCAGCAGCCTAGTCGGGGGCAGACACGCTCTGCGCCGTGGCCGGGAGCAGAGCCCCTCGGCCCTCCCCTCCCTCGCCTGTACTCGTCGTCCTGAGAGCCGCCGGCGCAGGAAGCGCCGCCGCCGCCCGAGCCGGCGGAGCTTCCCGCCGCGTGGCGGGGCGGAGGCAGGGGCGGAGGCACGCCGCGCGAGGCCGACCCTATACAGCGGCAAAGAGACGCCTCGCCCTCCGCCCGGCCGTGCCACGCGCCCCCCCTCCACCTCTCTCCTCCGAGCGGGCCCAGCCCGACAGCGGAAGGAGCTGCGCGTGCCCCGCCCGTCAGCAGCCTGCGAGGGGCGCGTCGAGGGTCGCCACGGGGCCGGACCAAACAAGCCGCTCTGCCACCCGCCGCCACCCCCCCCCCCCCCGCCGTGCGCGCGCGCCTCTGCTTGTCGAGGAAGTGTCTAGGAAGCGTCTAGGAAGCGTCTAGGAAGCGTCTAGGAAGCGTCTAGGAAGCGTCTAGGAAGCGTCGGGGAAGCGCCTCGCCTCTGCAGGTCGAGTGCGTCCGAGTCGTCCCGGAGCGTGCCGTTGATGCGCTGCCCCTCCTTGCGCTGCTGCGCGCGCAACGCCTCCCCCTTCGCCGACTTGAAGTCGAGGAGGATGTCGAGCAGCGCCTTCGTCTTTGCCACCTGGTGCGCCGCCACGGGGCCTCAGCCGCTACCCCGCGTGAATACGGGTCTTGTGACGGTTCGTCTCATTCTCATCAGTGTCCGCCACCTACAGCACCGACGACCAGCCCTCGGCACCACCTCGCCGCGGAGGCGCGAAGCGAGCCGCGGCCAGCGCGACCGCCGCGCCAGTCGGCCCGCGGATCACGACGTGGCACGGCTCTTCCTCCTGCGGGCAGAGGAGGCTCGCTCAGCGTCGCACCGAGGAGAGGATGCCTCGGCGCGGCTGCTGCTCCTCGTCGTCCCCGCCGAAGAGCATCTTCGTGCGGCTCGAGCCCTTGCCCCGCACGGCGATGCGGCAGCCGGCCTCGGCCTCGAGCAGCTTCTGCGTGATGCCGCGTGTGCCTGCCGCGCGGCACGCGAGGCGGAGTCAGGCAGGCGCGAGGCGACAGGGCAGGCAGGCGAGGCGACAGGGCAGGCGTCGCCCTCGCACTCGCACCGCCTCGCGTCTCTGGCCGTGGCATGCGCGCGCGCGCTCCTCTCTGCGCGCGTGCGGGCGGCGCGCGCGTGCTGCTCTCGCGGGGCGTGTGTCGCGCCGATGACGAGCCCCACCACCGCCTGCAGCCCGTTTGGAAGCATGTCGTCCCGGAGCAGCACCTTGACCTCGCTTGGCTGACTGGCCGTCTCACCGCTCCCGCCGAGCCGGATCGAGACCATCTGCTTGACAAACTCCGCGCGAGCGAGGAGCAGCGCCGGCTTCTCCTCCTCGCTCGCCGTCTCGAGCATCGCGGTGATCGCGTCGACTCGCTCCTGCCTCGGGTCGACCGGAGCGGGAGGCTCGGCGGAGCGTTCCCACCGGCTGCGTCGCGGCTCCGGCTTGGGCTCCTCCCAGCGCGAACGCTTGGCGGCCGCGGGAGCAGGAGCCGCATCTGCCCACTGCCGTCGCCGCCGGGCCGGCTTTGCTCCTGCCGCCGCTGCGCCGCCGAGCGGCTGCAGTTCCGTTGGTTCTGCCTGCTCCGTCGGTACCGGCGCTGACGTCGCTGATGCCGGCTCGGACGATGCTGGTGCTGGTGCTGGTGCCGGCTCGGACGACGCTGGCTCGGCGGGCTGAGACTCCATACTACGCGGTGTGAAAGCTACGCGGTGTGAAAGTGTGGACGCGCGTGAACAGCAGCTCCTGACCACGGCGCCGCAGGCCCTGTTGATAGGTCAGCTGATCGCCCTGGATAGGCAATGCATACGCCTAGTTGGGCCTCGGATCGCCCGACCGCGTCCCGGTGCTCTGTGGTCGGATTTGTGACGCCGCCGCACCTCGCCGCGGCCGGGGGCCCTCCGGAGGCCGAGGATGGCCGTGACGGACCGGGACGAGCTCTGGGAGGTTCAATGTCAGTTATATATTGTAGAGACCAACCATGTGCACAATATCTCTCAGTCTAGCTAAGCCTGTGGGAAGGCGATGCCGGGGCCGTATACAGCAGCTTGATGGTGTTTCGCCGGCGTGCGTCCCGGAGAGGTCCAGGACGGGGGGCCAGGGGAGGAAACGGAGGACAAGGCCGAAACCGCTCTGATTCGACTTTTCTCTTTTGACTTCAAACAAAGACACGCGCCGCAGCGCGGCGCGTGCGACTGTGAGGAGAGCGGATCCGTCAGTTAGTTGTGTTCACGCCGGGATCGTGTCCTCCACAACCTGTGCAGACTTTAGGCTTGGATCGTAGGAGTAAGAAAGACCCCGGCCCTGGGTTCCGGCTCCTAGCCGGATAGGGGGTCTGTCGCCACTGCGCACTGGCTGGCCCCTCCCAGATAGGTAGCAAGGTAGGTAGGTTGGTCTTGTTTCGCCCAAAAGGGCCCTGCCTACAATAGGTAGGTACATGTAGTGATGGGATCTTCACCAAACGAAACAAGTTCAACCTGCTTCTCCATGAGACATTCGGCGGCGGCTTCTCGCCGCCTGCAGTTGCAAAGATCAACCGCCTTGCGCGCAAGGCTCAACGCTCTGGGCGTTGACCGCACCGCGTACCCTCCCCACTCCCGCCTCTCATTTGTGTCACACCACGCGGAACGCATCTCCATCGCTTCGGTGAAGGGGGTGAACCGCGCCATCCTCGATCGCCGTGCAAAGCTCGCTTCCGAGCTCCCACGCCGCGCGTACCTTAGGGCCCTTAGGGGCCTAGAGAACACAACCCCCTCTCCCTTTTCTCCCAGTAAGCTAAAAGTACAAGGGCGTTTTGGCGCGAGTCAGGTGGACGAGTCAGGTGCGGTTATTACAGACCCCCTATCCGCTAGGGAGCCGAAACCCTGTGTTGAGGTTTAGGTCGTCGCGACGCGGGTTTATCGTCGGCGACCTACACGCGCTTCTTCGCTCCTCGCCGTGGTATCGCGCCATGTTATCGCCACTCCTCGTGTCCGTCGGCTGTGTGGACACGCCCGCGGCTGCCAATGTACGTGCATGGCTCAGCGCTGGCACGACGATGCTTCCGCCCGAAGCGCTCGATGACAAAGTAATCTTCTCTTCTGAGATGTCCACGATACGTGGGGCAAGCGCGTACTCTGCCGCGGCCACGCGGTGGGATGCTGACGCTGCGGCCTTGCTGAAGCCGTACCGGACCTCGGTCTCGCGGCTTGTGCCGCTGGACGGGCAGAGGGTGGCGGTGCGCTGGCGCGCCGCTTGGGATCCGGCGTCGCTCGCGTGGGCACCGCCGCTGGCGAGACTCCTCGGGTGGGAGATCGAGCGCTTCGACCTCGACCCAGAGGTGGTTTCGAACTTTCGCTGGATGGCAATCTTCGAGCTATTCGCTGCCGCCCTTCGGACTCGAGTGCTGCGGCTCCCGGCGGCCTCGGTGGAGGGGCGGGCGGTGTACTGCCTCGAGGAGGGCCGGTGCGTCGCACACGAGGAGTCGCTCGATTTGGTCCGAACGGTGTGCAACCTCCCATCCATCTGCCTCTTCCCAATGTGCCTCTTCCCACCTGCCGGAGTGGGTGCGATTCTCTCGAGACGTACTCATCCCGGCGCGACGTGGCCGCAGGCCGATAGCGGCCGCCTCCGTAACCGCCGAGCAGCGGAGAACATCGCCGAGTTCCTCGATGTCGCGCGCCGTCCGGACGGGTGCGCGTGGCACCCAGCGGGAATGTCGCAGGGTTTCTTTGCACACCTCAGCCATTCGGGTGCGTCGAGCGGCAACCGCCTTGCGCTGTGCCGCAGGTCGGAGCCGGAAGAGTGGGCGGCGGCGGTGCGGGCGCGCGTCCTGTCGGGCGTGCCAGGGGCAGGTGCATTGCATCTCGAGCCGAGCGAGGTTAGATGCGCGCGCATAAATGCTCCCATTGCTTTGGTGATCGTTCCGGTCTTTTCTTCTGCGCAGGACCCCAGCGAGGGCGTCTTTGCCTTGGGCTGCTTTGCGCTCGTGGCGGCCTGCGCCGTGCGGCTAAGCGCGGGCGTGATCGGAGGCGAGGCGACGACGGAGGCGTTCGGCGAGGGCGGCGACCCGGACCCACGCGTGGCTGTGTGCGAGGAGATCGGGGCCAGGCGGTCGGTCGATTTCAGTCAGTGCGTGAGTGATCTCTTCTGAAAAAGCAGGTGTACAGGTTATGTTTTGATTAGCATTAGGAGCATGCGGCGAAACAGCTGATAACAGGGCGACGATCGCGGTCACGCAAAGCAGTCGAAGTCTGGCTTGAGCAGCTTCACCATTACTTCATTGTCGACCGGGCTCAGCAGTGGCATCTCTTTTTCGTAACCTACGGCCTTCTTGCGCTTCAGCGAGTTCAGCGCCGCCGTTAGAACATCGCAGTGCAGCTCGTCGGCGCGTTGAAAGAGCACCCCGAACTTGCACTCACCGCCGTGCTGTTGGAGCGTATCCATAATGACGTACTTCTTGGCCATGTTCATCATGAACTGCGGGTCATCAGCCTTCGAGGCGTCCCACGCATCGAGCTTGTCCATGGCAGGCAGCGTGTTTTTGGTCGCGGCGGCGCGGCGGCGGGTCGCCGTTGGGTGTGGGCGCTTTTTTCTTACACCCGTGCCTCCGGACCTCCGTTCACGTGCACGGGCTTCTTGAGCCACCCACCCACCCACTCACCATCCGGGGCCTACGAAGCGTTTACCCACCCACCCACTTTTTCAAGAACGGCGGTCCAGAGGCACGTGGTTTGAGAAAAAACGCAACGCGGCGGCGCGATCTGGCTGATTTCTTTTGCGACGCCTCCCGGAGGGCCCTTCCGACCCCTCTCGAGCCCTCCCGCCCGAAGATCCTCTTGGCCTACCACCCGAGCTCGGGGGGCGGCGAGCCCTCCTGATCTCTCCTGCCTGGACCCCACCACACCTTCCCGCCTCGCCCAGCCCTCCTGCTCCCTCTCCCTCTCGGAATCCCGGTGGACCGCTCCACCCTCCCAGCGCGCTAGCCCTCTATGTCCGACGGGGAGTCGGGGACCCCTCCAGCCCTGTGTGAGCTGGTGAGCCCTCCGGTCGGAGGGGTGGAAGTGGGAGGGCTCGAGAACGGACCTCTCTCGCTCCGGGAGGGTGGAGGGGTGGTGGGTGGTGGTCTGGAGGGGTGGAGGGGTGGTTGAGTTCTCTAGCTCTGTCGATACAGCCCTACCCCTCCCGCCGTTTTAGGGCCTCTCCCCACCCGCTATGGATAAAGCCGTAATGCGAGCCTGAGCGCTGAGGGAGGGTGTAGAGGATGTAGAGTGTAGAGCGCTGTAGAGCTGTAGAGATGTAGAGCGCTCTGGAGCGCTGTAGAGCGATGTAGAGCTCTACATCCACCGCGTGACGAACTGCGTGCGTTGTAGAGCGATGTAGAGGCGCTCTACAACGTGAAATCTCTACAACAAACTCTTACATCATAAGCGGCGAACGAGGCACGGTCCCTCTCCGACATGAGGCGCGTTGCACTTGCCAGTGCTGCCCTGGCCTTCTGTCTGCCCGCCCAATGGGTGGCAGGTGCCAGAGTCTGCTGCTGTGGCATGCCTCACGGCTGCGACTGGCCGGCGCCTCGGCGCGTCAGCTCGGCTCGGCGTAGCGATACCGATAGTGGCCAGCGCAACTCGCCTGGACTCAACGCTCAGCCAGGAGCTCCCGCACGCGCTGGCGCGAGTCATGGCGCATGCAACGCGCCTGAATGCTCGCCTCGCCTCGCGCAAATGCGACCGTCCTCGCAGCCGACAGTCCACCGCCTGCTAAAGAAGCACAGCGACGAATGCGGCACCGGCGACGCATGGCAGGCTGGTCATGACGCAGTCATAGGGTGTTGTGTGCCGTCAGAGTGACTCTCTGTGTGTCAGGGATAGTCAGGGCCGTCCATCAGAGCTCCAGTAAGCTCGGAGACACCCCATTAGTGCGACTCGACCTCTTTGAGTCACTGCCTTCCCGGCGGTTTGTTTGGCTGTAGAGCCTCTACAACAAACTCTACAGCAAAATCGCGCTCTACATCGCTCTACATCGGACTCACATCGTCACGCGCCGGATGTAGAGCTCTACAGCTCTACAGCGCTCCAGAGCGCTCTACAGCTCTACAGCTCTACATACAGCGCTCTACACTCTACATCCTCTACACCCTCCCTCAGGAGGCGCTCTACAACGTGAAATCTCTCTGGCCCCGGCTGCGTCCCCGCGTGGCCTGCCCGATGGCGTGGTGCCCGCCCTCCACCCACCTCCCCGCGCGGGGCCGCTCCGGGGCGACCCGGGCGCCCTCCGACCAAACTGCCACACTACTATCATACAACAAGAGAGAGATCACATCACGGGAGGCTCCGGCGTCGACACGGGCGTCACATCAGTCGGCGTGCCCAACGACACGGGTGGGGGCCGCACGGGCGTGCGCGGCCCCGCCGAGGCCTACTACATCTCCCTCCTCAAATGCTGGTCAAAGCTTGTGGCCTGCAGCCCGGACCTCGCCGAAGCCGAGCGCTCCGGCGGGTACGGTGCACGAGACGCCGCCGTCAACTCGTACAGAGCCGCGCTCTCGAGGCGAGACGAGGTGGCCTCCATCCGAGCCGCGCGCGACGACAACATCTACTACACCTTGCGCGGCGGCAAGATCTCTGAGTTCTACCCCAAGGGCGTCAGCCTCCCCACTTCTGAGTCTCTTCCAACACCGGAGTCAGTCATCGATGGCACTTGCAAATCAGGAAGCCCGTACGCGCGGGCGCTTGCTGCCATCGATACTATCTGGAACTGGTTCGATCTGCAGAAGGAGTGGCGCGCCCTCGACGACTACACGGCAGCCAACTGGCAGCCCGGCGACACCAAAATACGTCTACGCGAGTCCATCCGCTACGTGTCAACTGCGCAGCCTTACGCGGGGCGGTGGCTCGACACAAAACTCGACGGTAGCAACGCCACATGCATTCCAGACGACATATTCATCGGCGAGCTTCAGCGCCGAAACGGCCTTCACCTCTCGCAGTGCCGCTCGACTGTCACGCGGGCACTCGAACTTGGGGACACAGTCGGTGGTGCAAAGGACTACCATGGCGACTGGTTCCTCAACAACGCCGCCCGGCGGCGCCCACACGATGGCGTACTTCGCGCCTGGTACGATTGTGTCCACGCCGTCTCCGTCTCCCGGCCCGTTATGGGAGATGCCGAAAAACCAGAACTCACCAAACAGTTCAACGAGGGCTACAAAACCGACCTGGCTGAGCCGGGCGAGGCCGGTTCACTCTCTTTTCTCCAGGCTACAGCTCATGATAGCCCCGCGGCGAGTTCTTCTGCCATTGCGAGTGCCTCGGCTGCCCTCTTGGCTTCCTCCGCCGCCACCACGTTTGCCTCGCGAATCCGCCGCACATACACCGCCGCCTCCGCGCTCTTGCCGGCCTGTACGAGTGAGGACTTGTGGCGGTTCTCTGCGCCGGTGACCCAGCCATGTGCAAACTGCTCCATCGAGTTGTTGGCGACATCCTACAAGCATTACAAGCTAGGTAGTCAGAGGCGGGATGGAAGGACAGCATTCCATAGGCCAGAGAGCACAGCCTGCTCCAGGAGGTGGTCGCATTGCAGCTTGGTCGCGGCGATGGGCACATTGCTTTGAAGGCACGCGCGACCCTCGGGGGGCCCAAACGCCAAGACAGCCATCATCCGCCCGATGTTGCCGTTCCGTCTCATATCCGCCATCACACCCCCATCACACCATCACACACCCATCACACCCCCATCACACCCATCACACCCCCATCACACCCCCATCACACCCATCACACACCCATCACACACCCATCACACCCATCACACACCCATCACACCTCCATCACACACCCATCACACCTCCATCACACCCATCACACACCCATCACACCCATCACACACCCATCACACACCCATCACACCCATCACACACCCATCACACACCCATCACACCCCCATCACACACCCATCACACCTCCATCACACCCATCACACACCCGTCACACACCCATCACACCCATCACACACCCATCACACCTCCATCACACCCATCAGCGAGGTCAAAAGACGAGATCAGCGAGGTCAAACTTTGGACCCCCCTCCGGGGTGGCTTGCCCGTTGGGGTCGGCCGCGCCGACACCGGAGGCAACCCCGGCTCCGTTGGAGACAAGTTCGCCTTCGGCAACACCGAAGAGCGCGCCCGCCTTGCAAACATGGGCTGCAAGCAACGCGGGTTCCGTGGTCAACGGGCGTTCGACCACACCACCGGCCAAGGCTACGTCAAGTCACAGCGTGGCGACTACCATGATGGGATCTTCACCAAACGAAACAAGTTCAACCTGCTTCTCCACGAGACATTCGGCGGCGGCTTCTCGCCGCCAGCAGTTGCAAAGATCAACCGCCTTGCGCGCAAGGCTCAACGCTCGGGCGTTGACCGCACCGCGTACCCTCCCCACTCCCGCCTCTCATTTGTGTCACACCACGCGGAACGCATCTCCATCGCTTCGGTGAAGGGGGTGAACCGTGCCATCCTCGATCGCCGTGCAAAGCTCGCTTCCGAGCTCTCACGCCGCGCGTAGGGCCCTTAGGGGCCTAGAGAACACACCCCCCTCTCTCTTTTCTCCCAGTAAGCTAAAAGTACGTACAACAAGAGAGAAGAGTACAACAACAAACTCTATGGTACTCGAGTACTAGTAGTATAATAGTATGTACATGGGTAAAGTGGGTTGAGGCGGGCTAGTACTGTTATATGATAGTAATAGAGCAGTTTGGTCGGAGGGCGCCCGGGTCGCCCCGGAGCGGCCCCGCGCGGGGAGGTGGGTGGAGGGCGGGCGCCACGCCGTCGGGCAGGCCGCGCGGGGACGCAGCCGGGGCCAGCGGGCGGCGCTAGAGGGCCGGGCGCAAACTTGTTGCACCTGCACCTGCACCTGCACCTGGGTGCAGCGAGTTTTGGTGGTTCGAAAAGCGGAGCGCGCAGTCCGTTGTGGTTCGAAACGCGATGCCTCCGTTGGGAGACACGGACGGCGCCGGCGGGAGCGACGAGGCCGGCGAGGCGCCGCACTCGGTCGCCGTCCTGCCGGTGATCAGCGAGCCGGTCGAGCGTGACCAGTTGCACTCGAATCTGAGCACCACATTGAGGCCGTTGGTGGAGAGGGAGCGTCGCGAGCGAGGTGACGAGGATGGAGCTGTGGGTGT